AACAATGGGGCTCTTTGAGTGGAAATGTCAACCATCACACTGGGGGACTGTCTGACTGGGCGCAGGTCCTTCTGTAAAACGCCAAGGTACAAACTGAGAGTGGAAAATAGTACGAAGCTTGTGAGGAGGCTAATGAAAGTCTGAAGGGAGGGCCAAGTGGTGGGAACAGGGAAGATGAAATCAAACAGGAGCTAACAGGTCGACAAGTTCTCTAATGAACATCATGTGCTTGAGTGCAAGAGAAACACAAGGCCTGTGGTTTATGTTCAGCTGATCTAATTGCACTGGATCAGTCCAATGAGGTTAATTTGGTTTTCTGGTCATTTCTTTGTCTGAAGCACTCTTCAAAACGTGCACAAATCATTCGCAAATTCAGCCTACAGATCAATGAGCAGGATAATAGGTTATAGGTCTTTAGCTCAGCCTCATTAAGAAAGAAGCAAATGTGGCCTGATTCTGGAGGCAAATTAACATCAGGAACCTAAAATACCTCAACCAATGATCCGTTCTGGGCCGTGTTATTATTACTCGAATTTCTTTGTAGACTCTGATAACCCCCTTGGCATTGAGCCTCTTTGAAAGTCTCACTTTTAAATCTGGAGGTGAATACAAATACTGAGTTGAAGTGAGGTGCCCTGCCACTTTAAGGCCGCGGATGAAACCGAGTTATTCTGCTGCTCTGACCTAATTGTTCTCGCTCTACGCTGTCAGGAACACTGGGAGCTGTGCACTCTGACACGTAAAGATTATTTAATACCATCAAAGCCATAAAGGGAGGAATAAAAGGAGCAAATTAACCCCCTCCGTGCCTGACAAGAGATTGTAGAAATACTGAGAGAGTGATCGGTATGCACAAGCAGACCTACCCAACTGCTGCCGGTGGAGAAAACATCACAACATCACAGCACTCGCTTTCCCAAAAACTCCCATCCCTCCGTCCCTCCCTCCCTCTCTCCTTCTCTCTCTCTCTCTCTGTGTCTCTCTTCTGGTACCAGCCCCCATCCCGCTGCTCCACTGGTTTTTCTCACACTCGCCCTGCTCCCTGAGGCAAAGTCGACGTCAGTGGGCACTAAAGCCAAACCACTGTAATATCCCAATTTGATTTTTGGACTGTTTCATTAGCAGAAAAATGCAGAAGAACATAAGCAATTTTCTTTTATGTCCTTTTCAGAGACCAACCGGGGTCAGCAGGGTTGAATCTGAAGTTAAAGGGTCTGTGCCTAATTTTGAACACTAAAGAACAGGCTTCAGAATGAATTTATGCTACGCCCATTTTATCTCACTCTGATGTTGAACCATGACATTTCCTTATTTCCAGATGGCGTTCATCATGTCATCACCTAAAAAAAAAAAAAATTACATCTATAGGCCACATTATTCAGACTTACAAAATACGAAAAAAAATAATAGCACTTACAGGCCCTTAAATTTCAACGGATTTCTGTCATAATGGTTCACAAACTAGTACTACTAGAGGAGAGAAACATGTAAAAAAAAAATTGCCAACATTGCAATTCTTGTTTTGGAGATATGCAAAATTATAATATAAAGTTTATCATCTGCTAACTAGGCTGCAAACATTTATTCATAATATTGTCTGAATATCATCATCATGATAATCCTTTGAGATATCGATTTGTCAATATCACCCATCTCTACAAGACTGTACATCATTCAACAAATATGTTTTATTTAAGCTTGTCCAGGACTGCTGTGCAAACTGTCCAAAACCTAATACCATCTTTAGGAAAAAACAACTTCAAAGGTTCTTTACTTATATTTAAATAATTTAAAACATACACTGAGATATGAATGTAGTCAAAACACTGGAGTGTGTAGGTGGTATGGGGGCTGACGTGTTTACCATTAGGCGAGCGCCGGATGACACCTCCCTGCTGTCCTGTCACCCAATGGAGCTTCTTGAACCTTCTAGCCCGTGTACATGTTGTATAAGTGTACAGTGCAGTTGAAAGTGATAAGTGGAAATAAGACAAACTTAGCGTGTGAGGCAGTGACATCCCCAGGCCAAGGGAAAATTGAGAGGCGCGCTGAATCAAAGCCACATGAATCTTTGTAAGGGTTAGTTTGGGCTTTTATCCCACTGCAGACCGCACCAAATCTATTTAAGCCAAGGCAAACTGGACCACTCAAAAACAACCAATGTCCACACAGGGGCATGTATTTCAAATAGTATGCAGGAAGTTCTACTAGAACATGCCAGAGCTGTGCACAAATATATTCTGGCCTTTACATAATAGCCATAAACATACAGGATATAGGAATCAAACTCCAAACAGCTCCTCTGCTCCTCTCTGATAAAAAGATAAAACAAGCTAACCAACTTTGTCCTCCTATTCCAGCACTGTGAGCCAGTCACAATAACAAAATTTAAAGTGCAACATATTGCTACAGAAAATCTTGATAAAAGAATAATATTCAAACTGCTTTTAGCCACTGACACAAAAAATCCAAAGGTGAATATTCCATTTTCTAAATGTATTACATTGTTAGAAACATCAGCTGTGACAATTACAATCCTAAAGGAAATACTTAGTATTATAGTGAGTCATCAAAGTTGCATACTCAACCCTCTACAGCTCAAATCTAACACAAACGTACACATACACATACAGCTCTAAAAAATCCAATTCATGATTCATTCAATTTTATTGTATACATGTTTTGAAGAGTTGCATCTTGTGTTTGTTGAAATACATTTCCAGTATGAAGTGCAGGAGAGCATACAATTGTTTTGAGAGCAAATACAGGACTGTACACCTAATATTTATTACTTGGCATATACTAGTTTTGGACATAAAGTAAGAGCTAGATTATCTTCCCATTTCACCATAACTTTATTTAGAAAAACACAGAATGTACTATCATTTTATAACACTACTTCCGTTCTGTGTTGCAGTGGCAAATGTGACAAATAAAGCCCTCCAAAACAGTCACAACTGACTCACCAGCCCCATGTTTAAAAAAGAAGAACGGGAGAAAAAAATTGTCCTTTTGAGTGTCATTCACACTTGACTTTACAATGTGCAGAGGAAAAAGGTCGTGGTGTGGGGGCCTGTGTGTGTGTGTGTGTGTGTGTGTGTGTGTGTGTGTGTGTGTGTGTACCACAGCGTCCGCTACCATGACACATTTAGTAGCATGTGAAACCAAACCGTGCAAGGCCTTTGACTGGCACCGCTCATGTGGAGGCAAACTACTTCCCGTTAACAGAGACTTTGACAGAATGCTGCATGTGCTACACTATAAACTAGCTATGCAGAGTAAAGAATGTGCAATGTGGTGAGATGGACAAATGAAGATTTTAGATTCATGCAACATAAAAGTAGGAGTAGCAGTACACAATGTTAGTGAATTTTTGTATTGGCAATTGTTCACAATCAGAGATAATCAAAAATGTCCTTGTTTCCTTGCTCCAAGTACCCATCACCCATTCAAACTCACAACCACCATTCAAATCCATCCAGTATGCAGATGCTAAACGTAAGGTATATTGCCCAAGGACATATAACAGCAGTATGCAACAATGTGAGCATGGCTACGAAGCATTGGTTTACTTTAAACAGCCAGCAGCCATTATATCATACATCATAATGCTGTCTTATCTGGAAAGTTGACATTTCAAGAATGGGTTATTTTTCAATTTCTGTTTAGTTTAAGAAAAAACACCAACCTCATTTGACTCTGTCACCCCTGAAAACTAAGCTACCATACTAATGGACAAAACTAAACACGACTGGGTGAGAAAATCCTCCACCAAACAAAATTTCTCACTCAGCTGAATGCCCTCAAACTCCTCACGCTATGAGTGTCCCAGGTCGTCACAGAAAAGGGCACCTATTTTCCTCTAATGCTCCCCACCTTATAAGAAAGCCCACACTGCCACCTCAACAAAGGGGCGTTTTTAGACATGATCAAGTACCACTGAGCAAATTACACACCCTCAAACACACAATGGAGCTCTGTTTTTAAAAGTGGATCGCTCAAATTAGAAATACACATCTCCAAAGTACTTGTTAGCATTTTAAATGGTAAGGTAATAAGCACTGCAATCTGTGGTTTTACTAGACAGCATTAACGTTTTACAAGGTAACACTGCTGGTTTCTGATGCTGCGGGGGATGTAATTCAAATGTTATAACACAAAGATGACATTTCATGTGCACAGATATAGACACCTCAAATTGCCACATTATGTTGACAAGGTTTCATTAACGGTGGCAACAAATTAGGGGGCATATCTGTCACCTTCTAAGTCAAAAATGCTCTTGTCCCTGTGTAGTGTCATCAGGTTTCAGCTGAACACTCGAGTTCATGTAAAGAATGCAGGCTGTGGCTGCCTCTCAGTGAGCTGCCTGAATATACACACCACTGAACAAGGGAAGTATAAGCTGATAATCCCAACTAGTGACAATGCACCTAAAATGAACAAACTTTACTTTAGAATGCCAACAATAAAATGCCTATTAGGTCAAGTATAAGAGGTTACATATACGCTGTTTTCAACACAATATCTGTGCACATTTCCCTGTTCAGACTATGAAAAACATGGTCAAGAAAGAGTGCGCCTCTTGAGATAACAGTCTATTCAGTCTATTTATTGGCACTTTTCAGCGGTTCAAAGGTGGACGGATAGCAGACGGTTTGTATAATTGACATAAAGAAACTGTCATCGCTGATAATGTCTTTCAGCGATAGTGTTCTGTTCGAGCTGCCCCAAAAGGCACGACGGGACACGATGTCACTATAATGAGCATTTTGAGACACGAAAATCTCAGAAAAAAATAAATAAAATAAATGAATAATGTAACAAAATAAATACAGTTAAAATCCAAATTCTCGTGCGTCATTTTACGCCCTTTACATCCTCGGGCGAACAGGTTAGATGTTTTTGACACGATATTCCGATAGGTCTTGTTAAAGCCAAGTCGTGTGCGCATGCTGTCAAATGTTGACAGGCTGTCAGTGACAAGTGCAGAGGAATACCTGGACCTGTTGACTCCTCCTCCGGGAGCTCTCTCGGGCTTTTGCTGCTGGAAGTTAAGCGGGCGCAGCTGGAACAGTCCGTTGCGCGACTCTTTTCAAAGTTTTTCCGTTGTCTCTCAAATGTCCGGACAGCGACAGCCTCCGCTGTGTTGAGAAGAATTATGTTCCTAGAAAATCACAGGTAAAACGACGGCGCGCCGCTGTCACACAAAAGACAAGTTTGGCACAGCTTTCGCGCAGGCAACCATTGCAGTCACGTTCTCTGGCTGTGAAATCCAACACCAGCGCAAGCCACGCCCCTTGCCTTTTATGGGGAGCAGCCCTGAAAAGTGGACGTCCCGCTCTCTCCGGATATGACTTAAAATGAAATAAAGCAGGCAAAAAGGCGTCCAGGACCATATTTAGTCTTGAACTGTTCTAAACATAATTTATTTATGATCAACTAATATCACACTCTCAGGTCTGATTCAATATCGTTTCTAGGAGCAATAGATTTACATTTTAAATGAGTTTTTGAGTCACTTATGTATAATTAGGATATAATTGTGTATTGTAAAATAAATGTACTATGAATAGGTAACTGCAAATTCAGACGCTGCCTTGAGATTGTAATGAACACTTCCATTTTTCAATTTCTTCATTTGACTGGAGCCATATTAAAAAGTCCATGACACAGATGTAGTATGCGGTGTTAGCCCTACATTCTCCCTTACATACACACACTCATTCATACATCAGGGTACATCAACACAGGGGTAGGGTGGCTGAAAGGTTTTGCTTAAAGACACAAGGACAATGCACTGGTTTGATCGAGGATTGCTACTGTGTTCTCCCAAATAGTAGCCTATTAAAGAGTTTGGGAAGAGCTTCAGGTCTCAAAGATAAGCTTATAATATCACTGTGGCATAACAGAGATTTTAGGATTTTATTTAATCATGACTTGTTGCATTAAATTTTAAACAACCCAGCAGCCCCTGCCTACCTCATGGCATGACTCCACTCAGACCAAAGTGCTGAGAACACCATTTAAGCTTCTAAAATATGTTTTCAAGTTGTCACTGACAGTTTGTCCAGCACATCAACGTTGGGCTTTCCTTGCCATGAGTTTCACAAACATTGGGTTAGGCACTAAAACAAATTGACAGGATGTTGAAGTCTGAGCATTGCATAAAAATTTTTACATATATGTGACATATATTACAATTTGCAAATATGACATTGTAAATAAATACAAAAGTATTTGCAATTCATTTTTCATTCATTTTTTTAATACCATTCTTTTTTTTATACTTCAGGCTAGTAGCAATATATAGACAGAATTGCTGGTTAGTAGCAGTGAAAAGTGGGTGGAATAAGGTGAATATTTTAAGAGATACAGCTAGCAGCTCTTTGATTGATATTGCCTTTGCATTTTGTAGAACCAAATAGCTATTTGTGACTACCCTAAACCATTGGTTCCCTTTTTTCTGGGGACCCATATTTTAAAAGTCACAAACCTTCGCAACCCAAGTCAATATACATTATTCGTAAATCACAAAATGGTTGTGGATTTGGAGGTGGAAGGTGGATTTGACCATTATTGAACATTAATGAGGATATTTTATTGTTGACTGAGTGATCGTGTCTCTCTGAACAATTAATTGAACCAGCAATAAAAAGGTATCCATAAGTAGCCTATTTGGACATTAAATGTAGCCCTGCATATTGCAAACCTACATGCAGATTGTGACAAGACGACCCAAAAAAAAAGCTCTTGCAACCCCCAGTGTTTGGGAAACACTGCCCTAGAAGAATGAGAGATTTGGTGGGTGGGGCTAACAGTTCAAACTAAAGTATGTTTGTCATTCACGGTTCAAAATCAGAAACATGGCCTTTAATGCTCTTAATATAATCTCATGTTCTGCCTGAAATATAGTTTTTTTGTGTAAGAAAGCCACTGCTACTTCACACATACTGCTCCAGTGGTTAAGTTTCCACCCCAGAAAGCAAACTTTAGTGACAGGTGGTACATTTGAAACCGCTTGTCCCATATGATTGGACAAAAGGGCCACGAGACAGTTGGTGACAGACTCCTGCCTCCATCTTTCCCCTCAGAGCACTGACACGGCTACAGAGAAAGTGTGAGCGACAGTATCTATCCCCTGCCTGCCTCCCCCGCTAGCTTTAAGGCTTTCTCAAACCCAAGCCGTGAGTGGCACTAAGCTATGTCAGTTGTCACACATCAGCACACCGGTGAGGAATGCAGCGCTGGGGGCAGATGGTTTGGTTGTGACATGGGACGCGAAGGCATGCAAGTTACCGCGGGCCGGGGGACTCGTCAAATGCTAAAAGTATGTACTGCTAGAGTGGCCGGTGTCAGAGGAGAATGGCTGGAGATGGAGCTGTCTAATTTCAGTGGAGGGTAACAGGTGGAAGTGGGGCCCTACGTCATGTAAATAGCCATCGCTGGACTGCAGTGTTGGGATTTGACTTGTGTGTATCTTTCATAGTTCCATGTTGGCTATAAGGCCTCTAGGGTCTCCTTATCTCTGCTACATCCTTATCTTGTAGCAACACTAAGTTAGAGCAGTCGAATCTTAATGCTGTTTGAGAATAGCTAGTTGAATCCTTTAGTTGAATAAAGAATGCATGTATACCGTAGCTATGGGCCTTGTCAGGCTTAAGCAACCCAGCCATGTGATACGAGTTCTATTTAATACTTTACATATCTTTGGAGTGTATGGTGGCAGAAGCTGGCCTTGTAAAACTAGAGCATTAAATGTAGTGCCTAGCTGCAGCATAGATATGGAAAATGTGAATTTGGTCATGCCTTGGTGATCCATGGCTCTAAATGTACCCAGTCTGGTTCTGAGCAGCATCATGGCGTGACTAAGACTGAAAGAGGAGCCAGTCGTTGACATGAAGGACTATGCGCAGAACGCATACACCGAAGTTTCTCTTGTACAAAATAGACTGTATTAATGCAGGGGTTGACAGTCAGGGTTAGCATGGCAGATTTGGCTTCAATTCCTATGTTGTAATCACAGACACATTACCACATTAAGCACTGTCATCATTATCCACACCAAAATTAACAAGTGTAAATTGTACAAGGATATGTGTATATATTTTTAATGACACAAATCTAAATGAGTCTGGAGGTCAGAAGTCAGTACTGTCATAATGTCTGGATGAGTAGTAGTAGTAATCAATTAATGTGCCATTGAAGTCAGTGGTTTATCTGAAACCATATATTCTACATTCTTGTGATAGTCAAAAGAGTGACGCTGAAGTTCATCATTCTTATATCTACAGATGCTCTGTTTGTTAAAAAACTACTTGAAGTCATTCCTCAGTTACACAACAGACAATAAGGACCACTATCAGCCCACTGAGAAAGAAAAGCTTTTTTTTTAATGATCGCACTTGTCTCTGTAAGTGAAATTCTTAACTTGGCCTTGACATTTACAACCTTTTGGAGGATGCATAGTATACAAATGCACATGATTAAATATTGTATGTGGTTTCTCTGATAAATGTTGTCAAAGCCAGCGGCTTGTACTTGCGTGTGCTTATTGTTACAGAACTAGTGCAGTGTCTCTCATGTTTCACTTTACAAGGCACCCCCTGAACCCTTAGCAGGTGCTGTGTTTCCTGCCTGAGTGGATAACATTAGCCACCATGATCAATACTTTTCTCCCCTGCGTGACGCCTTATTCCAGGTGTCAGGACTGGCCACATTCAAAGCAAAAAATGGTGTTGTGTAGAGATGCTTTTTACTGTCCAGCTTGTCACCCACAGCCAGGATAGACATTTCCAATCCCCTAAATGTCAGAAGACAATTACAGCCAGGCCAGCTAATGCAGTGGGGCAACATGAGAGCCTGTGGGCCTGACGTCAGCATGGCCAGCGGTCTGCAAGTCCTTTATTGGGTATAGATTTGAAAGGGATCTTGAGAGCGAGTAGACTGGAGCACCACCATAGTGAAAGTGCCAAGGCTTAGTGGTCAATCACCATCCTATACAGAGTCCCTTGGCTTTTAATTCCTCCAGCCTGCCTGGACTGCCTTAAACCACATATTTATTTGAATCTACCAGCAGCCAACCATTCATCACCACACGACTCCCCTTTATTAGCTTGTCATCTGTAGTCAGTTGTAATGGAGAAAGAGTCAGGCGGCCTCTATAGCAAAGCACTTAACACTGAGGGCTACACAACTGGTGAAAAACTGGTTCTGAATAGGCACTGAAGTAAGTGTTTTTAACTTGTGGTCAAGGACCGTATTAAAAGGCCACATACTGTAACTAACACATTGTAAGCTTAAGAAGAATAAAGATGAAAATGAGTAAAAAGGGAAAAAAAAAAAAACACAGATGAGATTTTATCAGTGGCATGGAACTGGTTAGCGGAGCCCCCGAAGATTCCTTTGAACTGTGAATGGCTGTTAAAAACTGACTTTTTCTCCACGAGCATGCCTCCATCTCAGAAACAAGCAACTTCTGAAACACACACACAACGCCACTGTATGGTCCGCCCTGCACTCCGAAATCTCACCTGCATGAGAGAAAACCTATTATACACTTTAATTTTCTCCTTCTCATTTTTTCCCCTCCTGGCGAAAAAAAAGAGATGATTTTTCAAACCTCTGACAGCCGAGCCTTTCGCAGGATTTAGTCCATCTGAAAACATGTGGTAAGCCTTGTGGAATGTTTCAAATGACTCCCAGATGTGGGCCGTAGACAGGTTTAACCCATTCTTATCCTCATCCTGGAAGAGAGATATGGAGCGAGCCACTACGGTAGACTTTGAGCAATATCACACAAAAAAGGTTTAGGCCTCTCCGTCGAGTTGTGTTACTTTCAAAGTATTAGAGCGCACCGAACTGTGGCTTAATGTAATTTGCACTAAAGCTAAAAATGGAAGTTCTCTTATGCTGCATTAGCCAAGAATAAAGAATGCAAGAAAGCAGCTTTTTTCCAGATGACTCAGCAATCGCACAGAGACCTGACCAGAGTTGATAGATTCACCTTTAGAGACTACTCATATTTTGGGCACAGTCTTTTCCCCCTGTGCAGTAAAGTCAGTGTATCCACACTGAATCATCTGTGTTTACATGTGATTAGTTTTGATGAAGCATGTTGTGTAGTAACACTCCCAAAAATGGCAGTTGACTGTGATGGTATTGCGGAGAAGCTTGCCGACTAAAAGGGGTGGAGAGAGCGCGCCCCTTGATATCCTATGAGCAACAAACTCAAGTGACCCCTTCTGTATTCGTCCCTCCTTCTT